TTCCTCAATTCCAGGGAGCAGCTTTGGTTGTGTCATACTCTAACAGGTATAGAATAACTTTGTTAAGGCCTTCATATATGGTGATATTGAATGAGAATGATTAAAAATTTACCATTGTCTCTCTGTTTTATTAATGAACATGAACCAAGTTATGCTTTGTTTTGAAGTTTAAAACAGGCCTAATTTATCTGTCGTCTAAACACTCCAATGACAGTGGTCAATAATTCCTTAGTGTGTGTACATATACATATTGATTTATTTATTTTCAACACAAGCTGACTGATGCATACATGGACTGATCTCTGCTCCAAAATATATCATGTTGTAGATGAAATGCTGTGTCTCTTGTGAACAGAAGTTTAGCTTGGTTTACATGATGGTGGGTCTGAGTGCAGACTGATATGTCATCATTCAGTTAAGGAGGAATGTGGAGAATGATCAGCCATTCAAATTGACAGTGTAGTGCAACAGGTTGCAAGTGACCACTAACAATTAAAATACATCAATGGAAGTCGTATGAAGGCAGCTGAAGGATGTCCATGAAGATCATATACTCACAGAACATCCTGAATTGGAAGGGACCCAAAAGAATCTTTGAGTCCACCTCCTGGCTCCACACAGGACCACACAAAAATGAAATCATAATTCTGACAACATTGTCCAAACACTTCTTGAACTCTGGCAGGCTTGGTGTCATGATCACTTCCTTGGGGAGTCTGCTTCAATGCCCGACCACCCTCTTAGTGAAGAACCGTTTCCTAATACCCAATCTGAACCTCCCCTCTCACAGCTCCATGCCATTCCCTTGGGTCCTGTCACTGTCCCCAGAGAGCAGAGATATCTCCTGCCCCTCCGCTCCCCTCATGAGGAAGCTGCAGCTGCAGGCCTCCCCATGAGGCCTCCCTTCAGACTCCTCTTCTCTAGGCTGAACAAACCAAGTGACCTCAGCCACTTCTCATATGTCTTCCCCTCTAGACTGTATAACATATTTGTTGCCCTCCTTTGGACACTCTCTGATAACTCTATGTAGTGGGTTTATGTGGCAAGACTTTGGTAGCAAGGGGCTGCGGGGGTGGCTTCTGTGAGAAGAATCCAAAAGTTGCCCTATGAGGGTCCCACCCCTGGTCAGAGTTGAGCCAATAAGCAATGTTGTTTGCACCTCTGTGAAAGCATATTTAAGAAACAAAACATAACAAAACTGCTGCACAACAGCAGCTGGGAGAGTGAGGAGGAAGAAACAGCCCTGCCGGCACCAAGGTCAATGAAGAAGGAGGGGGTAGGAGGTGCTCCAAGAGCCAGAGCAGAAGTTCCCCTGCAGCCTGTGGAAAGGACTATGGTAAAGCAGGTTGTCCCTCTGAAGCCCATGGTGTACCATGGTGGAACACATTTCCATGCTGCACCCCATGGAGGACCCCATGGTGGAGCAGGTGGATCTGACCTGAAGGAGGCTGTAGCCCATGGAGAGCCCCCGCTGGAGCAGATTTTAAGGCCGGACCTGTAGCCCATGGAGAGGAGCCCACACAGGAGCAGGTGACTTAGCAGAAGGTGCTGCTCATGGGGGGCCCAGGCTGGAGCAGTCTGTTCCTGATGGATGGACCCTGTGGTACAGGCCCATATCTGAAGCAGTTCTTGAAGAGCTGCTGCCTGTGGGCAGATGCCGCAGGATCAGTTTGGGAAGGACTGCATCCCGTGGGAGGGACCCCATGTAGAGCAGGGGCAGAGAGTGACCATGAAGGAGCAGCAGAGACCAGGTGCTATAGTCAGACCGCAACCCCCATTCCCCTGTGCCACTTGGGGAGAGGAAGTCAAAGAGGATGGATGAGGGGAAGGTGGTTTTGGTTTCTTTCCTTTGTTTCTCACTTCTCTAGCTTATTAGTAATAGGCAAAAAAAACTAATCTCCCTACTCTGAGTCTGTTTTTGCCCATCAAAATAATTGCTGAGCAATCTCCTCATCCATATCTCAAACCATGAGCCCTTTACAATGTATTTCTCCCCCTTTCCCTTTGTGGAAGGGGAATGAGAGAGCAGTTGTGGTGGAGCTTGGCTGCTCCCGAGTAAAAACCACACACTATTAACGTTCTGTTCTAGATAGTGTTGCAGAAAGCACAGAGCGATAGAATGATCTACATGGACAGAAAGTGGATTATTTTTTAGGATAGCAGGTATGTCTTTTTTTTAATGTCTTTCTTGTATTGTGGCATGCAAAGCTGCACACAGTCCTCAAGGTGAGGTTGCACCAGTGCAGAGCAGAGCAGGACAATCGCTTCTCTTGACTAGCTAGTAATGCTGTCCTTGATGCACCCCAGGATATGATTGGCCCTTTTGGATGACAGGGCACACTGTTAACTCATATTCAACTTACTATCAACCAAACTCTCCAGATACCTTTCCATGGGGCTGCTCTTCAGCCTCCCATCCCCTAGGCTGTATGAATATCCAGGGTTGCCCTGTCCCAGCTGCAGAATCCGGATGAAGGAGAAGGTTGAGAATCATGAGCAGCCACCCCATCTTCATTTCCAATATAAGGCTGACACAGATTTTTGGGGAATTCACCAAGGTGAATATCAAAGAAGAAATATCAAAGAAGAATATCAAAGAAGGGCAAGTTGCTGAAGAAGAAATACTTTTGAAGTGTGGAACTGGTGGTCAAATGGTTGTGGAAATGATGACCATGCTCCCCAGGTGAGTGAACAGCTAAATCATCAGGAGCAGAGTGAAGATTTGTGTCTTTCAAGTGGAAAGGACAATAGAAAGGATTCCCTGTCCTTGGTCCAGTTGGGAGGATTCATCTGACTGCCCAGCCTGCTGAAAGAACTACATGAAAGGGGGAATTAGCAGTCAATTCAAACCAAAGTTACACAGTGTCTCTGGGGACATGACATGAAGGTGTTGCTTAAAAAACGCAGCTGCTAAGCAAAGTGTCTGGAAGTGCTGACTGCAAAGGTATTTGGAAGGTGTGTTCAGTAGGGTTACCTGATCTTTTCAGTGCTTTTCAGTGCAAATATGTTAAGGGGGACATGACAAACAACATTATACTGCTATCACTAACCATGCTTGTGTGCAGCTACATTTCTGGTAGGCATTTACTGACAATTATCAGAATTAATCGCAGTACAGTTATATTGTAGTCACATGCTAACAAATTTCAACAAACATAACTGTCCTGAATGTATTTGCTATTGCTGTGATTATCATACCTATGTGCCATGATTTACGTAAGCTGTTAAAGATCCATTATGTATGTTCATAGAGTCCCAAGTTTCTTTCCTCACTAGCTAACGCTTCACACTTTCCAGTAACAGTAAATGCTTCACATGCTCCCCAAGTGATGTCATATCAGAACTGATGTCCTTTTTCGTATCAGTAGAAGAATTGGCGCTGCATTTATCGTCTGTTTTGTCCTGTAGGTTTGGGGCTCTATGTTCAGGATTGCCAGTAGGTGGCTGATTGATGGTTAAGTGGGCAAGGAGCATCACCTAGCGCATTCTTGTAGTAAATACCCAGAATGTGCCTCACTGTCTGCCCAGGGAAAGTCCATGTGTGGAGTGTTGTGGTTTAACCCAGCAGGCAGGTAAGGACCACACAGATGTTCACTCACCACCCTCCTCCCACCCCACCCCCCTTCCAAAACGCACACCAAACACACACACAGGAGGATGGGGGGTAGAATATTGGGAAAAAAATGATAAAAGCTTGTTGGTTGAGATAAAGACAGTTTAATAGGAGAGAAAATGAAGGAAACTATAATAATAGTAATAGTAGTAAAAATAGTATTAACAAATATAAATAATAATGATAAGAGGATATGGAAAGCAAGTGATGCACAATGCATCACTCATCACCTGCTGACTGATGCCCTTCCCATGCCATCCCCAAGCAGCGGCCCCAGCCCTCACTCTGGCCAGCCATCCCATATTTATTATTCAGCGTGACATCATACGGTATGGAATACCCTTTTGGCTGTTTGGGTTAGCTGTCCTAATTCTGTCCACTCCCAGCCCAGTTTTCTTGTGCACCCCCAGCCTCCTCAATGGCAGGCTAGAGTGAGAAGCTGAAAAGTCCTTGTCTTAGTATAAGCACTGTTCCACAACAACTAAACCATTGTTGTTTTATCAACATTATTCTCATCCTAAATTCAAAACACAACACCATACCATATGAAGACATTTACTCTGTCCCAGTCGACACAAGGACACAGAAACGGGCCCCTTCCTAGGGTTTTCCCAGCATTGCAGATGAGCATAATAATAACCCTGATGATTCCCTCCCCATGACTGTAAAGACTTTAGAGGGAAATGAAGATGAAGGAAAACACCTAGGAGGTCCATAGAAATCCTGGGATGGATAGGCGACTCAAAATGGTGATTCACCCACACTCTAACATGTTTCTGTTAGGCCACGATGGACCGTGTCTGGAGATGCTGATGACAGGCACAATTAGAAGAGGCTATCTCCAACTCTCACTCCCACCCAAACCAAACATGCCGGAGGCTGTGAACTGTTCAGGAGTTCAGCATGCTACAAATGCAGCTCACCTAGTAGAAGATATCTGAAAAGCAGTGAGGGTTCATCTGTTATGTAAAAACCCCAACTGACAGCAGCAGTGGGATCCCAGCATGGCAGGTAAATTTAAGCTGTGTTTTTGTGGTCCTGTTTTTATCCACGAATGCTGATGGTCTGAAGCACAAGGCATGTGTTGAGCTCAGAGCCTAAAAACACTCAGCTCCTGTTGAGGGATTTTTGAAACAGCAAAGATCCCATGGCTTGCTGCATCTGAGCAAACCAAGCTACCAGGATGACTATGAGAAGTTCCCATGACAGTGTTCCCACATCACCCAGCTGAGGAATTTAGAAAAATATTGTTGCCAGTAGTTGGCTTCAAGGACAAGGTCTACGGTGACTGCTAATCACAAGGGGGTTGTTTTCTTGTAGTTGTTTGTCTGAGTGCTTTTGACCAATAATCTTGTGTGAGACACTATCCGCCCCTGTTGAAGTTCACTATAAAAGTCAGGCTATTCGGGTAATAAAATGGAGCATGATCTGACCATACTAGTGTCTGTCAAGTTTTCGGCCGCTTTTCCTGCAACAAGCTCCACGCTGCTCTCGAGGAGGGTGTTGGCTGCCTCCAGGCATTTGTCCAGCTGGGACGCTGCAATGAGGGAGAGATAGGGGCACCATGGGAGTAAGGCAGGAAGAAAGGTCCACAGGCAGAAAGAAGAAAGGGGACACAGGACTCCCAGGAAACAGTGGTCCTGAAGAGGTCCACTATTAGGCCTCTAGTAGGCCTCACTGGAGAGAGCAGGGAGGAAGCCGTTCTGTGGAGATCTGGAAAACGAGACTCACCAGCTCGGCTGCACAGCCAGGTCACAGCCTTGGCCTCCAGCAACTCACATAGGCCTTGATAATACCTGTTTTTCTTCTGCAGCCAGGTCACAGCCAGTACTGTGGCCCAGATGCTTGGCTCTGTGACCTGTAGAAGAACAATGACTCAGACCCGCTGACATTGTTGAGCACCTCTTCCTTTGTGATTCTGGTTCCTGACCCCTCCACTCACCTCTGGGTGCCCTGGGATTCCAAGGGGTTCCACCAGCCAAGGTGTTCCCACTGCCCCAGTCTACACCCTGGCACCACAAAGGATTATCTCCTTACCTCACCAGGCATCTTTCCCTTGATTTCAGCCTCATCGACTTGCAGTGCAGAAGCTAAGCTTGAGCTGAGGGTCCAAGAGCCATCTACATTCTGCAGTGCAACCAGCTCCTGACACTCATCAATGGCTTTGCTGACCCATGGCCAAAAAATTTGAGAGGACAAAACAAAATTGGGATCCACACTCTCGAGAGAATAATAGATGGTGGCGGTGGTTTAGGTGCTGTGGGAAAAAATGTAAACTGGAGGGTTTGAGGAATCACAGGAAAGCTGGCCCCCTCTCTACTCCCCCTGTGCTCTGAGAAAATGCCCAGAACACTGTGATCTTCTTTGGGCAATTACCTGCAGGCTGAGGACCTCCCTGCATATCTCCAAAATATTCCTATCATCAACCCTTTCTGAACATCCCTAATTCATCCTTATTCTCCTAGCTTTCCTGCCAGCCATGTCCCAAACCCTCTCTTGATATCCTTAGAACATATCTCATCCAAATGTGCATTCATGATGCAGCACTGGTCCTGACCTGTCTCTGGGTGTCCCTGACCTGGGTCCCATAATTGCTGAAGGACTTTAAGCTTTAAGCATGATTAGCGGAAAGGTTAAAGGCAAAATTCATTAGTTTTCAGACCAAGAGCAAACATGGAGAGTGACAACATAACCCTCTTGTCAGACATTTAATTAATCCCTAAATCTCCTGTCTGGATCAAGATCCCATACCTTTTGAGTGAGCCCCATTCTGAGCCAAGGCAGCAATGTCATGGGTTAGACGCTGGATGGCAAACCATGACTCCTGTACTGCAGTCAGCCAGCCAGGTGGGATGAAGATGCTCTTAGGAAAGCAAGAAGAGCTGCAAATAGAGCCACGTAGTTGAAGGATCTGGCAGGCAACCAGTGACTGGTGGGGTGGCAGCAGTGCCAGGGGCCCTTTGAAGGAAACAGGGAAAGAGACTGAATTAAGCCCATGGGAACGGAGTACCTGGTGGTGATGGGGCCTACCCCATGAGACTGGGGGTGCCCTGTGGTTGGGGTTCTGGCTCCTGTGGAATGAGAACATCCCATGGAGACACCCCTCCAGATCTTTCCCCCAAGCATCTTTCCTTACCTTGGTACCAGGTAACCCACTGAGATGTGCGAACCCCCACATAACTGGTGAAGGGGCAGATGATCCCTGAAGTCAGGCTGATCTCGACTGCACGTTGCCTTGGTTCATCCCCTGACCCACTCACAGCGTCTGCCAACAACATCCCGAGCAAGCACCTTGCAGCCAGACGATGACCTGCCAGCCTGGGGACAGAGTGGGGTGAGGCCCAACTACCTGGCTTTTCTCCGTGCTGGAGAAAGGTGGACAGAGATTGGTCCTGGACACCTAGGTTCTCTCCCTTCAGGGGTAAGAATGGGTAGAGGGAAGATGTGGATGCATGGGTCCCCTGTCTGCAGTGAAATGAGGTCCAGGTGCATGAGTCCTATCCCTGTGGGTTCAAAGCAGGGAAGGAGAGCATGCTTGGACACTTGGGTTCTCTCCCAGTTTGGGATGGTACGTGGAAGGTGGGAATGAATAAACAAGCTATCTGTTTCCTTTCTCAGCTGGAGTCCATGTGTAGGACAGGCTCTCACCGGCCATCTCCCTGTGGGCATAGTGGGAACGGGATCGTGTGAGCGACATTCTGGCCATTCAGGCTGAACTGCAAAGTCAAGACACCAGTGGCCACTTTCTATATCCTGGTAACACATGGAAAGATACTGGAGGTTACTGGAAATACATGATTGCTGCTGGGAGGTACTGGGAAATTACTCAAAGATTACTAGTAGTTAATGCAAGGTTATTAGGAAGTAACTGGAAAAAAACATAGTGGCAGCTCTCACCTGGGCTTCTCCACGAATCTTTGCATAGAGATGGATGTGTTCACCCTGAAAGATGGACCGAGGTGTGCCTCCCAGCACCTCAGCCTCCAGGCCAAGGGGCAGAGTCCAGCTCAGAGAGACTCCCTCAGCTGCTGGCTTAAGGGCTCTTTCAAGCAGTTCAGCACCTGGGTAGAAAGGGCAAGACACCACACTTTGGGAGCTCCATTAGAGTTCAGCATACGGCCCCTCTGTCTGAATTCCTTGGATAGCACGGGGATGTGTGGGGTGCCAGATGGCTTCCCTGGTAGCAGTCAGGTCTGTGCCATGGGGGGAGAAGTTCAGGCATCTGGGTTTCTGTGGGGTGGGGCAGTGGGGTAGAGAGTTAGGGAAAGACTGGGTGCCTGGGTTCCTTGGGGCAGCTGGGTCTTGGCTACCACAGGTGGGCAGTCCAGGTGCCAGGGTTACTGGAAAGTAGTGTATCTGTGGAAAGAAGGGAACGAACCAGGGCTCCTGGGTTCCTACCACAACTGCCAGTTCTTTGTCAGATTTGACGTAGGTAGCTTCACCCCTTGTCTCCCTGGCCAGAGTCATGGCCAGGGCAGCACTGTCCTCAGAGAAGCAGAAGGAGAAACACCTATGGTGGAAGCAGGGAAAGGTGTCAGAAATAGGAGCCAGAGATGGATGCACGCATGTAGAAAAAGAGTTGGAGAAGACAGGCTGGAGTTTTAGGCAGGGGAACAAACCTAGGGTGCAGAACAAGGGGCAGGAGGAAGAGTAAGGAGTGGAGTGAGGAATTGGGGTTGGAGCTGGGGTTAGACAGGAGGTGGCAGGGAAGAGCTGGAGCTTGGGGCAGAGCTGGGACCAGTATGGTGGGGCTGGGGCAGAGCTTGGGGGCACATCAGGGTGTACAAATCCCTCCTCACTTTGTGATGGGTACCTTGGGTGTGGGAGTATTAAGTAAAGACTCCCCTGTGGAGGCTTGACACAGGACAGAGCTGCGCAGGGTGGGAAGGGTCTCTGGGACACTGAAGGGGTTCAAGGATTCAGACAGGTGAACAGGGGCCCTCATCAATGATGGGAGGGGATCAAGGGATGACTAAGGACTGGGGGCAGAGAGTTCCAATTACCGGTGGCTGTTGCGATGATGGCAGACCTCAGCAGCAATGGCTTCCTTGTCAGGAGGTAGCCCAGTCATGAAGATGAAGAGCTGGGAGATAGGAGACATAAATGAATGGTGACACCTTGCACAAGACCCCAAAATGGGGACAGCAGGTCCCCAAAAGGGACCCAGGTGAGAGAGACCCTGTAGAGATACTACCCCCAAGGAGAGATATCCATTCTCTCAGGGGACAGAACCCCCCCGAGATATGGACCCACCTTTTTTTCCTTTCCCCCACATAGTCTGTTCACCTTGGACCAGGACACCCCTTGTGTCACTCCTTCCCCACACACTCTGTGCTCCTCGGGGACACCTATCCCACCACTCCTCCATGCTCCTGTGCCCAGACCTGTCGTGCATGTCCGTGGGGCTGGGGCGTATTGTAGATTGTGCGAAGAGTTCCAAGCAGGTCAGCATCACCCAGACAAGAGCTGGTGGACGGGATGCGTTGCATTGCCTTGGTCAGGTTGTCTTGGGTATATTCAACACTTTGCCTGCAGCAGGCACAACATGTTTGCAGAGCACATCACCCTGTGCTGGCCGTGGTGCTCCCCAAGACTCACCCCCATAGCTATATCTTCTGCAAGATCCTGCCCCATAGGAGGTCTTAAAGAGACCTTGCCTCATAGTTCCTACAAGATTTTGCTCAACAGAACCCCAATAAATGCTCTCCCATGGTGCCACAAAGATCCTGTCCCCAGAATCCAGTCCTGCCCTCCAGCACCCAGCCATGCACTCCAGTACCCAGCCTTGCCCCATACCAATCTGCCTATTTCAGAAAATCCAGACCTATCCTCCAGGATCTTGCTCTGCCTCACAGCAACCAGTCAAGCCCCACAGCATCCAGCCCTACTCGCCAGCATCTAATCCAGACACATAACACCCAGCCTGCCCCATGTTTGCTCACGGATAGATGCCCACAGATGTTGCTCCATAGCAGTAGATGTTGAAGTAGCAGCCCAGGGGAAGGCTTTTGAGAAGGAAGAGCAGGGATTCCTGTGGAAAGAAACTGCAGGCAGGTCTTAGGAGGTACCAGTGGTGGATACAGATGCCCTTGCCCTTATCTTGGTCTGGCTAAAGCCTCTGGACTCCTCTGGATGACCCCAGCCAGTGTCCTGACCTCTCCTAGGCACCCAAGATATTCCAGGACCCTTTCAGAGCCCACCATTGCCCCTACCCACCCTGTTTCCCCCTGTCTCCACCCCCCTCCCCCCCCCATGTCTGTGTCTCAAACATCTGCCCTGGCTTTGTTCCCTCTCAGCTTGCTCCCCAAATCGAGTTTGGTCCCTGTTCTGTGGAGGTACCTGTGCACGCTCAAGGAAAGTGGTGTCCAGAAGGAAGATGAACTCCCCAGACTGGCACTGCCCAGGCATTGCATCAGGGATGCTGGGTGACAGAGTCACCAACACGAGGGGGTCACCAAGCAGGGAGCCTGGAGGAGGTATAGGGTGGGGATAAAGCCCAATTATGCCCAGTTAGAGACCCCTCTCCTCATCCTGGTTCTGATCCTCATTGTGCCCTCAGCTTACACCATCCCAGAGCTCCTGATAACCCACACTGGTGCCTTGTTACCCTACTGTAATGTACACAAGCTGCACAACGCATTGCCCCCAGTACTCCAGCCCAGTGGCTCCAACACAGGTTACCCAGTAAGCCCTAATATAGGGGTCCTCATAGCCATCCTGGTACATCTAATACCTCATCACAATGTCCCCAGCACCTCACTGTGGAACCCTAGGACACACACTATCCCATCTGAATGCCTCCTATCTTTGTCCAATGAAGCCTCTCACCCCACAATCCCCAGTGTCCTCCTGTGCCTCAATGACTCCTGTTACTCAGAGGTGCCCCCACGTTCCCTCCCCAGATGAACTCACCAACGGGGGCCCCAGGGTCTCCCTTCTCCACCACAGCACTGACTTCAGTGGGGTCTCCATAATACACAAGCAGCTCAAAATCATCTCTTGGAGGGGTCTCAGCCAGTGAGACCTAGAGAAGGGATGCCTGGTCATACACAGGAGGAGGAGGCCCAGGCCCAGCATTAGGCCAGGAGCACAAGCACCAATCCCAGCGCATCTCCTTTTTCTCAGTGATGACGCCACTTGCCCACTATCCCCAGGATCCTGGCCCTCAGGAGGCCATCAGTGATGACGCCACTTGCCCAGTATCTCCAGGATCCTGGCCCT